TAAAGTCAGACTACCACGGCAACAACTGCAAATACTTCTACTCACACATGTTGACGAGCAGAGTCTTATGATAAACAAAGACCGAAGACCAGTATCAGCATGCTGGCTAATTGGAGATTATCAGTCCTGTGATACGTCATGGAAATTCGCATATGCCAGGCGGCTAATCTGTCCCAATGGGCGACAGACGTAGTCGAGGGGGGCTGGGCGCCTTTTGAAGAATGATTTTGATGCAACATGACAGCGGCTGCGAACTATATTTCATAACTAAGGCCTGCATCAGTTCATCCCTAATGTCATCTACCTTTGGCCGGCTCAAGTGTTTCTTTGACACAGCCAAAGCAATGAGCAACTCTGTCCAATAGGATTGGGTGGATAAACAAGCAAGTGGACAGATAGATGGATTGATAGATTGATTGGTAGTCGCACCGAAAGAGAGGAAGGACTAACAGGTCAAGGCATGTTTTCGGCTCCTGTCCAGGCGAAACGGTCACAGTAACTACTTCGAACATGTGGTGTAGGAAGAGTAGCCGATATCTTTAAAGCAGACAGACGACCAAGGGTTGGAGGAGGAGGGGGGGGGGCGAGGGAAGTACGAGTACAAGGGGTGGATTTGAGGATGTGGCCGAAATATATGACGGAAGGCCAGAGATTCCTGATGAGCTGACTGGCCAGTTGCTCAGTTGGGAGATAAAAAGTCGGCTGATTCCCTCGATAAGGGTAATCCATAGCCTCGACCGGTTCAGGGAGGGTGTGGGCACAGATACAGATGGGGTGAGAGCAGATGAAGATTATGCGAATGATGACGAGTTTGCATGGGACAATGTCGGTAGGAATGTGGTGATTTGCAAATGGTGGTCATCCCCATAAATCGCGGATAGTTTATTTCACGCCTGGCCGGCCAAGCAGCCACAAGATTCGCATCAGTTTTGGCTAAGCCAAGACGGCTGTCTCCTCTTCGATCCCATTTATCTATTCTGTTGCCTGCAGTTGATGATCTTTCTCTCTTTGACTGGCTAAAAAGGAAGCAAGTGGAGATTACATGATTGATCTGATAAAAGTGGATGTCGTGGTTACACTAGAACGTGGTTGAGTAAACCCGAGAAGGAGAAGAGTACTTAAGGCAAGCTAGCCACTTGTGCTCATTGCAGAGTGATCCCTGATCAAAGGTCTCATTCGCCCGGTTGTGCATATTGGCGGCTGAATGAGGGCAGAGGTCAATGTTGTAATATGGTTGAATAAGTGGTTATATGCTGTGAC